GGTGGTGTGGGAGGGGTGGGGGGAGCAGTGAGGGGGGGGGGGGAGGGGGGGCGTTGACCTGAGCATGGACCACGCTCCGACTGAATCAAAGACGTTTGTCACTTCATCACTTCCTCGTCTGTGATTGAAGGAAATCAATTTAACACCGGTTGATTAAATTAAACCATTTTACTGCAGCAGCAGTGACTGACCTTTGACCTTCACCCTTTAATAATCTCACTGACCCCTGCTTTCACCTGTGTGTGTGTGTGTGTGTGTAATGACACTGAAATGTGCTGACATCATCAGGAACATTTTGACAGTTACATTCTTAATCTGCTGCAGCAGCAGGAAGTCACTGGGGAGAGGGGGCGGAGCCTCTTCAAGACAGAACTGAACCAGCTGGAAATGAACAGGAAACATCAGAGGAAACTAAAGATCACCCCCCCCACCCCCTCACCCACACCAAACCTCATGGAGAAAATCAGAGATTTTAGTTCAGACCAAAGTCCATGGAGAAAATCAGAAATTTTAGTTCAGACCAAAGTCCATGGAGAAAATCAGTGATTTTAGTTCAGACCAAAGTCCATGGAGAAAATCAGAAATTTTAGTTCAGACCAAAGTCCATGGAGAAAATCAGAGAGTTTAGTTCAGACCAAAGTCCATGGAGAAAATCAGAAATTTTAGTTCAGACCAAAGTCCATGGAGAAAATCAGAGAGTTTAGTTCAGACCAAAGTCAGTGGAGAAAATCAAACAAACAAACAATTTTCACATGTTCTAAAAGACGGCTCTAAAGACTCAAAGTAAAGAAACGTGATCCAGTAGCTACGTGTGTGTCTAAGTTCTCATTTGACGTCACTTTTTACTTGGTCAAAATGACCAAAGAACAGTGACTAAAAGCCAGAGCTCCAGGTTCCCACGCTGCTCCACCTCAGCTCCACCACCAGGACTGTGGAGTTAGAACCCTTCACCAAACACATCAACCAACCAGAGGTCAAAGGGACATTGTCAGACAGAAACCTGGACATCCAAGTCTTCAAAGAACAAAAACCTTCTCCGTCCAGTCGACCTCCACCTCAGCAGTGAAACAGGAAGAGAATCGAACCCTAACCTTCCTGTTTCTAGCTGTGGATTTTCTCCTGATGTTTTGACTTCAAACAGCCGGAGCTGTAAATCAGTCTGAGGGCCAGGTTTTCTCTGCTCTGCAGCGCTAACGTTGCCTCACCTTTGACCTCTCCATTAGCCACTCTGCAAACTTCAAAGTGAATGACTTCATCAATACTGTTATTGATAAGAACGGGGGAAGTGATCGATCATCCAGTCGTGTGAACGTCTGCTCGCTTCATTAACCTCAGAGGTTTAAGTAGGAGACAGGCCACGCCCCCTGCTGATGAGCAGGTGACCAATCACAGGCCCCCATGTCTGTGTCTCACCAGAGGAAACCAGTTTGTCAACAGTTGTGTCAGTTGAGGGAAAATCAGCTGTTGATCCACTGCTGCCTCGGCACTGACGTGGTTCTGATACTTCACCACAGGGGGCAGCACATAATTCCTGTGGTGGTTAATATGGACTTTGGTCTGAACTCAGATCACCTCCACACGTTGGTCAACGCTGCCTGAGATTTGTTTTATGTCTGTCCCTCCGACTCCGGAGGTCCAGAAGGCCGCAGCAGCACCGTGACTGACCTTGACCCTGACCTCTGACCTGTGAAGAGCCTCTCAGAACATTAGCATGTTCATCTGAACCTTCCGAGCTGCAGAGGTAACGTCTCTGGGCCCGGTGTCATCCACGACATTCATCTCAGGCTCAATCACGGCCTTCAGCCGCAGATCCTGGAGCCATGTCTGAGGTCAAAGGTCACAAACCTAATCATGTCCAGATGGTGCCATAAGTCAGCGCTAACCTCCGCAGCCACCGACAGCAGCAGCTTATCGTTTTAATTCACCATCTCTCTGATGAGGACACGTGAAGGACGGGAGCGAGGGCGAGATCGTAAAATGCTAATGACGACGCAGCGATAGCGATAGCGATAGCTAACCGTCCGACGAGGCCTTCGAGCTGAAGGGGTCACCAGGAGGGGAAGCTGAGCTGTCGATGGTCCCACTGGACCAGCAGAACATTAACAGTTAAAGCACTGACTGCACACGGTGCGCCCCCTGCTGCTGGAACTAGGTTGAGAAATTTAAGGGGTCAAACATCAATCAAACGTGTGGACAAAAATAAAAACACTGCTTCACTTTCACCTTCACGGTTCTCCAGGGACTTGAACCATGTGAGTTTTAGTTAAAAACCCATTGTGTTCAAACAGTGTTTTATATCAACAGTGAATATAAAAAGTACTTCTTATTTTACTGTTAGTAATAATCGGTTCAAACAGTAAAAAACCTTAGTCTGAAACACCTGTACCTGTCTGGTCCCTGGGTCAAACGGCTGCTGGTGATTGGTCGGGATTTGCTGTGACACGTCCCTCTGATTTCACCTTCAGCCTGAAACAAATACAACAGACAAAAACATGCTAAGTGAAACAGGAAGTGACATCATCGGCAACAACTGCTTTTTACCATTACGTTAAGTTAACAAAGTGTTCGCACCAGAAAACAAAGACAATGAAGTTGGTTTGTTGTTTGGTCTGAACTAAAATCTCTGATTTTCTCCATGGACTTTGGTCTGAACTAAAATCTCTGATTTTCTCCATGGACTTTGGTCTGAACTAAAATCTCTGATTTTCTCCATGGACTTTGGTCTGAACTAAAATCTCTGCTGATTTTCTCTATGAGGTTTGGTCTGAACTAAAATCTCTGATTTTCTCCATGAGGTTTGGTGTGGTTTCCTCGGTGACCTTGGATTTTAAAATGATTTTCTCTGACTTGTATGTTTTTTCGTCAGACTCGGTCCATCTCTGGCTCCCAGTTGGACCAGGTCCATACGTCCAGGTCCAGCACTTACTCTGGGCATGGTGAGCAGCAAGTGTCCGGTGGTCTGGGACCGCTGAGCCACCGAGCTGTCGGGCTTCACCTCCACGGGCAGCACCAGCTGAAAGACCTGCGGCAGAGCGGACGATTATTCACGACTTTAATTAACAAGACGAATGTGTCGCTGACACCACCTCCACGACTTTAATCACCACCGTGGCTTTTTTTAGACACGCTTTGCAGAGTGGACTCAGGAGACAGAGGGAGCAGGAGGTGAGAGGAGCAGCTGTCAGTCAGAGGGGAGGAGACAACGACGTCACCCTGACTGTAGCTACACCCCCCCACACACCCCACACACCCCTGTTTGTCCCTGTTCAATGAGGTTTTTAAATTACAACTTTAATCCTTATTTCAACAGACACTGAGCGCCCCCTGCTGCAAAGATTTTCTCACTGATTTTCTCCATGGACTTTGGTCTGAACTAAAATCTCTGATTTTCTCCATGGACTTTGGTCTGAACTAAAATCTCTGATTTTCTCCATGGACTTTGGTCTGAACTAAAATCTCTGATTTTCTCCATGAGGTTTGGTGTGGCTCAGAGTGAGCGATCTGTTAGAAACGGAGCTAAAAAAAAAAGACAGTGTCTTAATCAGTCCACCAGGTGACAGCAGGGGGCACTGCAGTTCCTCTTTCCTGATGAATGATGACACTGCTGCAGTCTCATCAGAACAAAAAAAAAAGTCTGTGACAAAGTGATGAGTCATCACTTTGTCAGCACGGAGTCTGAGGATCTGCCCGTTCACAGTCTGACGTGACTGCACTGTGTGCGCCCCCTGCTGCTGTAAACCAGCATGACACACCGTCAAATTCAGAACACGGTGATTGACAGCAGGTGCCAGTCAGTGATGAGACCACGCGGTCACATGACTCTGTGGGTGATCATGTGACCCTGTGGGTGATCATGTGACTCTGTGGGCGGTCATGTGACTCTGTGGGTGATCATGTGACCTGGACGTACCTTCCCTTTAACAGAGACTCTGGTATATGTCGGCTGAATGTCCACGTCCAGGAGGGAGGTGTCCATGTGTCTGAGAAGGGGGCGGAGCCAAACATTCCTCTATTATATTATAAATAATTACATCAACAATTAAGAACTAATTCCAAACAAACAACCAGGAAACAGTGAACAACAACTCTTTCAAAATAAATGTCTTTTTTTGTGTTTTTACCTGTAAACGGTCAAATCCAGGAGCAGCTGGTTGTTGTCCTCATCCTCAGTCAGAGAGAACTCCAGTCTGGGGGGGAGGGGGGGGGGGGGGCGG